CTCTGTCTGTGACAGGGGATTTTGACGAGGGATCATTTAAATCTGACAGCAGTGCAGATTAAACTGGGATCTGTATCCAAATATTTATCTGAACTTTGAAAAACCCCATCTACAGTGCTGATTCAGGACAAGGCCTAGCCAAATATAAGTAAATCACCAACTGTCTGACAGCAGTGCCCTGTACTACGAAGCCGGATTTTCACTTAGCGAGGTAACTTCAGGGTTAACTCTGGGTTTCCGGTCCTACGACGCTGGTTCACTTCTTACCGGGGTAGATCTCCATGGTAACTTATGCTGAACACCAAACCTGCTCCAGAGCAGTGAAAGCACCGCCTGCTGACCAATCAGAGCTCAGTCTGCGGAGTTCAAAGCTATCAAGTCATATGGGAAATACAGTTTAAACTGCCGTTGCAGGAAAGAGGTCTGGCAAAAATCACTGACTGTGTGAACATGAACATTAATAGAATATCACTGCCCATCTTCAGAGCAATCCGACTATTATTACATTAGCGTTAAGCAATTACTTAAATATCTGCCACAACGTAACCGGAGCAAAGTAACATTACGTACAGTCCGCGACACTGTGAGTGCAGACGTCGATGTGTCCCTCCCATTATCATTCATATCACATCATAATGTGTCATATATTTCCTTATCTGAGTCAGCTTCTCGAGCCGTATCTGGCCGTGCAACACTTACAGTGTCACATATGTGGCTTTCACACCAGCGCTTTTCCCTTTCTAGCTCCTAGCTAGAGCTTTTCTGGTTCAGCTCCGGTTTCCCTTTTCAGCTCCCGCTCTGTTCACACCGCCCAGCTGCTGCTGCTGCGTCATGACGTCACCGTTTACATCGCTGATTTTCTCCCCTTTATATATACAGTCTATGTTTTCTCCCCAACGGAGCTCACAACAACAACAACGGGGGGGGGGACTGCGTCGGGTCGATGATCGTGTTGCTTTTAATCATACGAAGCCAGATTAAATTAAATAACGACTTCTCCAACCTTATACTTTTCTCCAGAGTGCCGTGGTTCATTGTTTATTAATGTGTTTCAGCGGCATTTACCGACCGCTGCAGTGCTGGCTGCTCTTCCACGGGAGTTTATTCTCCCGTTAGCTCCGGGTTAGCTCACACGGCTCTAAAGTATTCACTGTCTGACTGTCACACAAGCAGCTGATACATATCCCCAGTTCCCCTTAAGTGAATGTGTGTCAGTCTGAATTGACGCTGTTTGGCATCACAACGTTGTTATGAAAGTTTCTCTGGTATAACATGGGTGATGTTAGCATAGCAACCGAAGCTAAACTGACTACTTGCTAAGCCGTTTTCTACAGGCACATTTTACCGGCGTATTTTTCATTATGATTCTACTTGTGATAGTCGGACATGACAACCTGTGCAGCCCATGTATTGATTCCATCCGATAGCTGCTATAATACAAAACAAAACGTCTGCCTGCTCTCCACAATGATCGATAACAGCGAACGGATGGTCAAAGTAAGGTACAAATAAACAGAATCACACGAAGCCTGGTTAGTGTTGCCTGACTTTATAAAGTGTGTTTTTTTTTTATAAGTGTGTGGTTGCCTTCTAGTCACTTTGCTCAGCGCTACTGCTTGTAGGCAGGCATGACGAGACTCTTCAGTCGACCCATGTTCAGGGGAGGTGGGTTTAGTTTCCTGCACGCCTCGACGTAAGAGAGACGTAAGCGACGCCGCGTCATAGCTCCGAAGCTCTTGCCTCTAGACCGACAATTTTTTGGAGCTGGAAGTGAACCGCATTCCGGAGCTATGACGCGGCGCCGCTGCGGTGTGAACAGGAAAAACCGGCGCTCCGAGCCGGAACTGGAAAAGCGCCGGTGTGAAAGGGGCAATACTGTATGCAGAAGTATTATTTTAAGCAACACATTAAGTCGACGAAACACTCGAGTCAAATGTAATCATTCAAACACTTTTTGTTTGTACCAGCTGTTCTTCCTGCACCTTGCAGGTGCAACTATGTGGCTTTTATCCTGGATTAAGTGTTTAAGTCATGGATGTTTAAAGTTTAACTTCTTCGTATTTGTCTAACGTGATAGTTTACTTTTCATTCATGAAGTGTACGCTTGTCCCTGTTTGTGATTGGTCAAATGTTGCTAACCCCGCCCCTTTCATGTGAACACACTCAAAGCCAGACAGAGAAACCCTGGGTTGATTTACCGAGTTGATAACCAGCGTTGTAGGACCGCTTAGCGAGATCTCGTTTGTTAGGGTTAGTTAAGCCGGGTAACTCAAACATATCCAGGGTCTGTTGAACTGGCTTCGTAGTACAGGGCACTGTACACCCTCAAACAATCACAAACTGTTGTTGAACAGAGTGGACGGACAAGAGTGTCATCCATCTGCCCAACCTATTACCCTCCACTACAGTCAAGACTGAACACTGCATCTCATGAAGAGGCTATAAACACTCCACTGTAAAATCTTGCACCTGATGCATTAAAAGAGGACAGCCTAAGCATAAGTACGAACCAGTCAAGTAAGGTAGCAATATTAGGATATATAGACTATAGAGGCAATCTAAATCTGTCTACAATAGCTTTGCTTTCACATATCTTAATATATTTAATAAATGTTGTTGCAAAGAACAGAATAGTTTTATTGGATAAGTATATGATTTTTTGTTTGCATTCATTTAAACACAAACTTTGATTTTTCAGGGTTTTAACATGCCCAACAAGCAAAAAACAGACATGTGTGAGTGAGCTTATGTTACTGACTAAAACATTCTCAATTTATTTTCTGGTTTCACCTCTGAAATTGTTGTTTTATTTTATAATAGGTTATACTTAACCGTTTGTTTTTTGGACTATTGGTCGGATGGACCTTGTTCATTTTTAAAGACCAAACTAATGACCATTTGATGGTGAAAATCCACCAGATTAATCCACAGTATAATTAATTTAAAAAAAAAAACATCCTACTTGTCTAATTTCTCAATCAGGCTTTCATAAAACTAACTTTAAAAAAAAAAAACTACTTTCTATTGCCATACCCAGGGAAAAACTAATCTTTTCATTGTAATCGTCCGTTCTTGGAAGGACTTTCAATAAACAAGATGATAGAATCAGTCATGACAGGCCTAACAATTGATGTATCTGCATTGACATCCTTGTATGAATCAAAGCACTCACTTAAAACTCTATAAACTGAACTAAAGTCGCTGGAAAAATGTAACTCATATAGCAACAACGTGTGTGAATGTGTGATAACTCCTCATTTCATGTTGCCTGGAATTAGCTTGTGTTTCAAAAATAGTGTGCTGTACCTAGAGGCCCCCATGCATCTGTTATCATTTTACAACCTGCCTGTAACTCTGTAAAGCTCCTGAGCACAATGCGCTCCACTAAGCACCTCATTACAGCAAAAGAGCCTTTGTACCCCACTGAGGTAATATGTGGGTGGGAGGAACCCTTTAGATGAAGGAATCAACACGGCAAAGCGTCAGAGCGATTAGCCCTTTCATGGCACAAACCTCACAACTACCACATTTTTCCAGATTCATAAAAGTGTGAAAACCTTTTCACTGTGACTGAATTCAGAGAGTGATGTATGTCTCATGCACTGGGAACATGGAGCGAGTGATGCTGAGAAACAGATTACTAAACTACTCTTGGAGATACAGGGTTTTTAGTCCAACAGTGGGAGGTAAGCGGTCGGTGAAACATGTTATTGTAGGGTGTGTTTACTGACATCGTAGGAGAGGAGCAACACCAGTAAAATCACAATGTGCTAAAACAAGCAAACACGCACATGCAACAGAACCACAATGTGGCAAAACAGCACAACAGGTTCAAAGCATTCTTTCAGATTTACAGACATTGTCTTCCATCGTATTCAACGCTACAAAAAGTGACCGGAACAGTCTCTGCAATTCCAACTCACCACTACAAACAGAGCAGCACAGCTAAAGTGTTTTACAAGCCACGTTTAAAAGAGAAAATAGTCCTTACAGAAAATCCTGGAGATTAAGGGGAAAAGCTAAATCATCTCATTATACCTAACACTTCTCTTAAGTATAATTAAAATGCAGCTTCGTTTTTTTCAGCCAAGTGGGTGGAAACACTGAGAACTCAATTAGGCCCATACTTAAAGATAATGCTACTCTTTCAATAAATAGTTATTTTTTTGATGAAGGACTGATGGTTTTGTTTAAAACTTGAGCTTTAAAGGTGAAATTCAAAACACAAAAAACACCTAACAATGACTACTGAGGAGAGATGATTTGAGGTAATGAATGGCATACAATTCCACAGCAGCAACACAGTAAAGACTAACTGTATGAACAATTAAACTAAAAACAATACCATCTCAGACTTCACACCTGATTTTGCTCTCCGATGACTTGATCGTGTTATTATCTCATAATACACATGTAGGATGCAACAAAGATTTGAAAAAAACAAAAAACCTTGTTGACATACTGTCAAAGAGTAACACAACAACATTATGTCCAACTGCAGGTGACTGGCTCCATGCTGATCCGTCCCTTTGTCTACGAGAGGAGCAGCCTCCTCCACATCAGACACTGACAACCCTCGGAGAAGGAGCACTTCTTAACACCACATCCCAACATCAATCACTTTACACACAAAGTCAGTAGTAATACTAATTCCATGTAAGTGTAAAAGCCTCCGATTTGGTTTATTTTCTTATCGGGAATTTGCGCACCGGCGCTGCTGCAGGCAGGCAGACATACACATGTGGAATGTGGAGGGAAGCACCCGCCTATAACAATAACACGGCACACAAAACATTACCCGGACGAGGCTAGTGTAGAAGTTGTGCTGAAATGCGAGATTAATGCGCAAGTGGTAATGACATGTGGCTTCAACACACGGTGTGGAGAGGTAACAAAGAAAAAAGCTGCAGGATTTTTTTTTTTATGAGCAGCGGCTAGCTCACAACATCACATGCTAACCGGAGCCTTTAGTGTCATGAAGCTAGTGAATGTTCTCTTACCTGATGTGGCATATCAACCTTCACTTTGTGCAGTAGCAGAGGGGGGCCCAAATGTTGGAGCCAGGTCGCCAAATTCTCCGGGCCAGTGGAGTTGAAAGCTTTTTCCTTTTTTTACAATTTCCCCACGCTGAAAAACTTTTCCTCCGTATAAAACAAAACTGTCAACAGAGAAGAAAGGAGGAGTGATTAGGCAGGGCTATCTAACGGTCAGTCGGGGGCTGGCAGCACTGATGACGTCCCGTTATTTCATGCACGGACACAGAGCTACGCCAAACGTCACTCAATAAATCTAACAACTCAATAGTCGCCTCGCTCGGGCAGATGTGAACACTCTTGAGAAAACATTTCAGGACTAGTGGACATTCAGTACACATTGTGCAGCAATTCATACACACAAAAAGTTCACACTGCTTGCTAACCTCCGACACTTGCTATACTGTTAGGGGGAGTAAACGAATTATCATTATTAAACATATTAGTGGGAAATATATATAGAATTAAAGAATGGTTCGTTAACATTTATAATATGCCTGCTAATGCATGTTACTACTTCTTTCCCAACCTGAACAGCCACAGTAAATGGCCACATGGATTTCGGACAGGACGTTAACGGGGCTCGGACTTGCTAACAAAACGGACGCAGATAAAATACAAAAATAGCCTTTAATGTCCACACAACGTGCGGATAATTGTGTTGTGTGTTATATGAAATGGCCTCTCTACAATGACAGCACCCCTAGGCTCACTGAGTGCATTGTTTGTGTCGGCGGCATGTCAAAATATTGCAGCCCGCTAGAGAGCAATAACAACAGCTAACGCTACGTTCACAGAAGCTCACTTCACTGGCCTGAAAAGCGCGTGTGCCACTCGGCCTGAAAGCACTTCTCAGCAAAAACGAAACGAAAAAGAGAAAAACTATAATAATATTGTAATTTATATGCCATTTCACTACACGAAACACTCCCAAAGGTACAGGCAAGTGCAAAATGACTTACATTAGTCCATGCGAGGGGCAACGTAAGCAGACACTCCAGTGTTAGTCCAGTTTGTTAGATCTGTATCAACATAGACGGGCAGCACTTCTTCATAGTCCCGCCCCTAAGGTTTAACAGTCAGGCATATCTATACATATATAATCCTGCCAGTGTCCAATCACAGCGCTCGACTCTGGCGTAGGCTCTGCTCCCATTGGTCGAGAAGCGTGTCAGTCTCTCGATGACTCTCCAGCTGTCTCCTTACCATATAGGGGTGTGTCGTGACGTAGCACACAGACTGAGATGTAATTAACAATTTCATCAAAAGTAATAGTTAAGAAAACAATTGAAAAAATAAAATGAGTACTTTAAAAAAAAAAAACTGCTTGTGACGTTAAAAGGGGCGAGTCCTTTCCTGCATTTGGAGAGGCTGGAGAGATGGTGAGGGTCTTGGATGTCACAATATTTTCTTTGTATACATTTGTGTGTACACATTTGTGTTTTGACAATGTTGCATGTACTTTCTAACTCCACATTTCTCATGATGCATTATTTATATTTTACCTATACATAATATATGAAAGTTCCAGCATCCTCTTCTCTCTCTCTCTCTTTCTGGTCTCTCTGTCCTGGAAACTACTGGTAACTGATACTATACACACCAAGCGAAGTAAAATAAACAATTTCAGTGACCCATTTACTGGTCTGCGTCCATAGTTAATAGGAGGGAGCTAATTTGTGTACTTGGTAGAGGGGATGATAGGGCCCTGTGGTGCTATACTATACCACCCCTGGGAGGTTTTATTATAGCACTTCAATCACCACCTTACCCACTCTGTAATTCTCTTGTTATTTCCATCTCTTCTCATTCCACTTGATCTGCTATGCATTGCGCCAGCCAGAAGAAGTTCAACTACGGTGTCTTTTTTTTCAAGTGCATACCAAGTGAACTTTAGGCTTTTTGGCTGTTACATGGATCCAACCTATGACCTTTAAGAAAAGAAGGTCTGTGTTGACAACATTCCAGCAAGTAATCCATAACTTGCCGTACGTTTCATGCAACGTTAAAAATGAGACAGGCAACATGAGCCCCTTTCTGACAGATGGAAAAAAAAGGCAACTTGAAGCCTGCTTAATGGTGGCTTTGAGCTCTCTGTGAACGGATTAAGGGAATAGCAGCGCTTGCTTTACTGTGCAGTGGGAGAGGGGGCTCTAAGAAAGCCATCCTTCTTATTCACCATGTGATATTTTTGAATGGCATGTTACATGTCCTAAAAAACATATTTTTCAACTTGTTTCACTGTGTTCATTTTGACTATTTGATTATCTATTAATTGGAACAAAAGTTAAAAAAAGAAAGAAAAGGGAAGCATTTCAGATTCAGAAGTCATGATTATTTGAAATGCTGTTAAGTTTGGTTGCGGCTGAGACCAATAATCATGTTGAAAAAAACATATTCAACTTATTAAAACAATCTGCAAACATTCTAAGTGTGTATGTGTTTACATGTTAGATCATTAAGATCATAATTTTTTTATTGGGCTTTGTGAATCATTCTCTTGTTAAGCATACTTATTCTTATTTTGTGAGCAGGAGGTTAAAGCTGATAAAGAAAAATTATCAATGTTTCATTGTGTAGATTAAAACAATAACCTCATTCTAAGTTAAAAAAGCTGCATTGTCTTCACATTGTAATTCTTACCTTTACAAGTCAGACATGTGTAATGTAAATGTTTTTCCTTTTGAAAAATGTAATTGAGCATGCCTGGTATAGAATATTTTACATAAATGGTAGGCTTCAAAGTCTGAGACTGTGGGCCTCATACAAAGCTTGGAAAAAGGAATCCCTCTCCCCCTTAGTTAACTTGCTTTCACTCAATTCCAGGATGCCTATGGGATAATATTTATGTTATTTGATCCAATGAACACACATCAGATCGCCAAGATAGCCTAACATTTTTGCTTGACATAATGTAATATGACATAATCATGCCAGCAAAAATAAAATACAAAAAGTCTGTCCAAAAGCATGTATTATTTTCATCACAATATACTATGGTATCATATGCTGTACTATGCCATGCTATCCTAAGATTAGTAATGCTATGCTATGGAATACAATCATAAACTAAACTACACTGCTAGATAGCGCTATGAATGAATGAATGAATGAATGAAAACTTTATTACAGACTCAGGGTCCAGATACCCTATGCCCATATGCTTTGCCATGCTATGCTATGCTATGCTATTGTAAGCTAAGCAGTGCTATGCTATGCCATGTTGTTGTAAGCTAAGCAGTGCTATGCTATGCTATGCTATGCTATGCTATGCTATGCTATGCTATGCTATGCTATGCTATGCTATGCTACGCCGCTATGCTATTCAAAGCAGAGCTATGCTGTGCTATGCTTTACTTTACTATACTACTATACCATACAGCTTTACCTTATTATTGAACATTTTGTTGATAAAAGGAGCATTTTTTATAGAATAAAATATTCTCAAGGCTCGCTGGTTTTAAAGTTAAATTCCTTGAGGGTAATTGAACTGCTGCTATCATTATTATGCTAATCTTGTATGACTTTTGGACAAGTGTTTGATTATAAATGTTGAATCTTAGGGCAATTATGGTCATACAATGGTAAAGAGGTGGTTTCACCAAGCTTAAAGAAATCCTTGTTCGAGCTTGAATAATTGCATATATCACAATTTTCAATCAGCTCACAACTGCCTGTAGTGTACGCTCACATTTTTTCTTCAAAGCCTTTGGTATTGATGAACATGAAAGACAAGGAATTTACAATTGAGCATAAATCAATGTCCACTTTCTTAATCATCCCAAATTGAAAATAATGAATGAAGCTATGACTGTATGTGTACATGATACAATCTATACTTGGCATTCAAGTGTGTGTGTTTGCGTGATATGTTGCCTTGCTCCCTGCCTGTGTGTGCCTGCATGTGCTGGAATCTAGGCCATCCCTTGTGGCTTTGTGTCTGAGAGGCGGATCAGCCTATATGAGGGGCAGCCAGGCATATGGGCGTGTTTGCGTGGGGGCATGCGCACACAGGACTTCATCTGCCTCAGTGTGCGTGTGTGAATGATAGAGTATATACAGTACTGTGTGAGGCATGGGTTTTCTCGAGGTGTTTCCACTGTGCAAACACACTGCCGCGTAATAGGAACAGGAGACACTCTCACTTAAATTCAACACACACATTTTCTCTCTTTTCCTCTCTATCTTCCTTCCTCAGGATCCCTCCATCTCATCCCCCCCCACCCACCTCCAAACCATCCCACACATGCACGTACACACCACTTTCTCTCCCACTCACAGTCTAGGAAACAGCTGGAAAAGCAAATAGTTGCAGGCAGGCCGACTGGCTCTCACACATGACTGGACCTTTGCTTAGATGAATGCAGTCCTCACACTGATTTTTCAGCTGCAGCCGAAAAAAGGCACAAGGGACGGTGCAACTGCACAAACCTTGAGGAATTCTGCACAAGTTGGCAAACACACTCTTTGATCAACTTCGCAGTGTGTGGTGATAAAGATTTGTAGCGGTGTCACCTTCATGTGCCACAAGCTTTGATTTATTTGGTAAACAAATATGTCAAGGCTGGAACATTAGGGGACTTTTTTTCTACACTGAAATTATTAATAATATTATCCTCCCATGTAATGCATCTGTGTATTATATATTTTAGATCAACGTTTTTGAATGAATTAAGGTTAGATGGTTTACAGAATGTATTATACAGAATGTTTCTGTCTAATACACGAACTCTCTCCAATTCTAGATGTCATACCAAAATATATTGTAAATACTTCCTGTTTCTTTTGTGGGCAAAGGGAAACAAAGGACTACTATCTAAGTGTGTGGGAGTGAAACTCCCTCTGGAGTGACCTTTGGGATTTTAGCCTTTCTAGACTATTTACATGCACAAAAACCTAAATAACACTCTACAGGTAAGGGAAAACCCCAAAAAGCGTAATAAGGCCCCTTTAGACTGTTTGTGAATAAAGTGAATTAAATAAAGCTTCTCATGGATATTTTGACCGAAAAGAGGATCCAGCATGAGGGCAGCAAAACTCGAGCCTTCGTCTGTCCCAATTTAAAAACGTCATGCTCTGCTTCCAATTTCTAAACAGTGTCCTCATCGGCCTCCAACGTCAATAACCTCGCCCCATATCCAAGACAAATGTTCTGCATTCTTTCCAATCAGACTTGAGGGAGTTTGAAAGCCGAGCAAAACTGGGACATGGGGTCAGTAAGTCAGCACATTTACTGTAGAGTAAGCCCTGTTTTATCTTAAATAGTCTCATTTAAAGGTGGGGTAGGTCATTTTGGAGAAACCAGCTCGAGTGCGCTAGAATTTGAAAATACACAGCCGGAAAAAATCTGCCACTTTCTTACAGAGCCCCTCCTCCAACACACACAAACGCGCACATGACCAATGAGGGCACGAGATAAGTTTGTGCACAGATGGAAGGCTGACAGGCAGGTAGGCCATCCAGGTAGCCGGGCCGGCTAAAATGATTGGTCGTGCTTTTTACAGTACTACGGTTTCCACAGATGACATTTATGTATGGATTTTTTGTCAAAGCACTTCAGATATTCATTGCTATCGGGATGTTAAGAGCATTCCATGGAATATAACAAAAAGTGTATCTCGAGCCGGTTTCTCAAACTTACCTACCCCACCTTTAATTGAAACTAAAAACATTTATTGTCATGACGTGTGTTTCGGTATGAATCTCATGTGTATGTGCAAATAACATATATACCCAAACTGAATGAAACCAGAAATTGTAGATAGCAGGATCTTTTTTTTTCTGTCATTCAAACAGGAAACATTTTTAAACAAGTGGCCAAACACAATTTCAAATTAAAAGATCAAAAGCTGTTATTATCATATGGGAGTGTGAGACAGAGAAACCCCCTCTGGAGGGAAATTTGGGATTTTAGTCTTTACAGACCATTTACATGCACTAAAACCTATATAACACTATACCGGAAAGGGAAAACCCCAAAAAGCATAATAGAGCCTCTTTAATACCAGGGTTCTCCAACAGTGCAACATACAATATACTTGAGACATAT